AGCCGCGGGTTCCACCGCCGCCGCCTCAGAGGCCGCCATGGCTCCCACACAGCCGCGGTCCCGCTCGCAGGGCCCGCCCCCACGCAGCCACTTCCGGCAGGGGGCGGGGCGGCCGGGCTCATTAGCATCCGGCGCGCGCGCCCCCTGCCGGCCGCGGAGCGCCCAAGAGGAGGGAGGCTGCGCGCTGCGGAAACGATGCCAACAGGTAAGTGTGTCGGTCACGCGGACCGAGCCTTTCCTTACCTTCAAGGAAACTTGGCCTGAGGCAACAGTTGGATGTAAGAAGCAGCAATTCCCTTAGAAGCTTTAGCTCCCAAAGATTATATGCAACCCAGGTGCTCAATGGCAGGACGGGCAATAACGTTGCGCTTTCCATCGAGTGTCACATTTTGTTCCCAAAGCATTGGTAGCGGTGGCTAGCAGGTATGTACCTAGTAAGTCTCCCCTCACGGTGCAGGAAAGGAAATTTAGGCATACAGACATTAATTTGCCCTAGATTGCATGGCACAAGTGAAAGGATGTTACTACTGACAGGGTGGATCGTTTTAGGGGGTCTGTTGTTACCCACTCCTATTTTTCCCCCTAGTACTGGGGATTGAACCCAGGGCTTTCACTCTGAACTACATCCCCAGCCCTTTTTTATTTTGAGATAGACTCTCACTAAATCGGGGCTGGGGAGGTGGCCCAGTAGAATAAGACCTTGCCTGGCAAGCACTAGGACCTGAGTTCAATCCCCGCTTCCGAGGGAAAAAAAAAGAATCTCACTAAATCCCTAAGGCTGGGCTTGGCCTCCATCTTCCTGCCTCAGTCTCCCAAAGTGCTGGGATTACTGGGCTGTACTGTCAGCCTGGCTACCTGCCTGTTTTAATTCCTGAAATTCCATGTTGTCTGGGAAGCAGTGTAGCTCCGTGCATGGTCCCCAAACCTCAATGCCTAAAGAGACTAGGTAGGTCACCTAAATAGGAATAGCTAGGTGGGGGACTGCAGTGCAATTGGACCCTGCCCCTGTCTGAAGGGGGCAGCTGCTGCATATCTCTGGGATTACTAGATTATCTTGTGAAGATGCCCAACTTTTACAAATTAGCTGCATTAGTGTTCAATCACTAATAACAAATTACCACCAATTTAGTGTCTGGCCATAACAAATTTATCTTGCAGCTCTGTAGGTCTGGAGCCTGAAATGTCAGCAGGCCAGTCCCTTCTGGAGGCTCTGGAGAGAATCCATCTGCTTTTTCCAGCTTCTATAGGCTGCTGCATTCCTTGGCTGGTGGCCCCTTCCATCAAGGTCTGTGGCATTGAGGTGAGTTTGTACCAGCCGTCAGATCATTTCTTTTAAAAACATATGATACTGGGTCTTGAACCCAGGGCCTCTCACGTGCTAGACAAATATTCTTCCAGTGAGTTATGCAGCCTTTTAAGTTTACTTTTAAATTTTAATTATTTTGAGATGGAGCCTTGCTAAGTTGTCTGGGCTGGTCTCAAATTTGTTTCATTTTTTCTTTTTTTGTACTGGGGATCAAATTCAGGACCTTGTGCTTGCCAGGCAGGTGCTTATGCTACTGAGTTATCTTCTCACCCCTTGATCTCAAATTTATGATCCTCCCACCTCAGCTTCTCCAGTAGCTTGAATTATCTACATGCCACCATTGTACCAAGCCACTGTCATCTCCCTATAGCTCTTCATTCTTTAAGATCCTGTGACCACATTGGGCCTATTGAGGCACTGCAGGGAACTTCTCCAACCACAGAATTCCTTTGCTGTATAAAATAACACATACAGATTCTAGGGATTACCACACAGACTTGTTTGAGAAGGGGGCATTGTTTAGGCTGCTGTTTAAGAGTGTAGGCTGTGGAATCTGCTGGCTGGTCATTACTCAAGTAAAATAAGATTAGTCATGCTGCCTCTCTTCTAATACTGCTATGAAAGTAAGGTACTGCATACGAAATGCAGTAGCACAGTGCCTGCCACATGCCAAGTGCTGTCATCACTGCCAATCTTTTTTTTTTTTTTATGTTGCAGCACTAATATTTATTTCTAAAGCTCCTGATCAAATATAACATCAGTAATCAGCTATAGAAGAGCTAACTTAATGTGCTACCATTGCACCAAATGTCTCCATCTCATTCTCCTCCTTTGAAATGATATATAAATGACATGAAAATTCAGTTAATTATAAAATCACTGCCAATCTTTAGCTTGTTCAGGCCTTGGTGAAGATGCAATTCTTTTGGCTATCGAGGTCCTTGGCTGGGAGGTTACTGCTTGCTTTATCTGTGCTTCAGCAGCATCTAAGGGTGACAGAAAGTGCATGCCAGCTAAGGGCTGGGGGAGCCGGGGTTCTCCCATTTTTCTAAGCAAGAGCCTGTGATGCGAGGGTCACCCAGATGCAGCCAAGTGGTATCATAACAGGATGTACAATATGACTTGTATTTTCTTATTAGGCTCCAAATACACATTCCTGCTAGACACCAGAGAATCCGTGAGGCCGCTGGAAGTCATTTCAGGACCCTGCAGGGCCCCTTGCTGCACAGATCTGGTGTGGATCTCAGGCACTGGGCAAGGCGCTGGGCAGAACGCACACCAGAGACCCCAGAAACCGTGACTGCTCAGGAGGAAGTTATCCTTCAGCTCTAGTATACTCAGGGCCCCACAGGAGATGACCGACATTTCTAGGGTAAGTCTGAAAACATGATCTTTCATAGACCATGACCCACAGCCTATAGATAGTAGCAGAGAATATTATTTGGCACCCCCCTTCTGTGTTATAAGACTCCTTTTGATTTTCGTCCAAAGAAAATAATATGCTACTTTATTTTATTTATTGTGGTACGAGGGATTGAATTTAGGACCCTGCGCTTGCCAGGCAAGCGCTTATTCTACTGAGCTATCTCCCTGGCCCAATATGCTACTTTACGAGTAGTTTTTTCCTGCTGTTTTCTTCTCTGCCTTGGCCACTGGCAAAGCCCATGCTAAGATTTTGATCTTCTATCAACTGGGAAGACACATGTAGAAATATAGATTCCTATATAGTAATAGCTTTTTTTTTTTTAAAGTTACACTTTATTTTATTTTTTTTAAATTAATTAATTTATGTGTGTGTGTGTGCCCACCTCAGCCCACCAGGGGGCGGGGCTGGCTGGCATGTGGTGCTGGGGGATTGAACTGCGGTCCCTGTGCTTTGCCAAACTTGTTCTAAGTAGGTGCTTTAGACCACTGAGCCATCTCACCAGCCCCTAGTAATAGCCTTTTATAAAAAATGTATTTTAGTACAGAGCTCTAGGGTCTCACCACATAGACTACACTCGTACTGATCCTGTTTTCAGCCTCCCAAGCGCTGGGATTACAGATATGGGCTACCATGCATCTCAGTCGCTGTCTCAGTGTGTCTTGGGGCAGGGCCAGCATAGCACACCAGGGATTGAACCCTGGTCGTTGCGCCTGCCTAAGCAGTATGGTGCTTTCGTCTGCTGAGCTATCTGGCCAGCCCTATAGCAATAATCTTATCCCTAGCTTTATTCTGTGCTCTTCTGTATTCTTATCTGCCCGGCTTTCGTTATCTTTTAATTTTATAATTGTAAGAAATTTTTTGGGGGGCGGGTGGCGAACAGGGTCTTGTTGTGTAGTCTAGGCTACCCTTGAAAGCATGGCAATCCTCCTACCTCAGCCTCTTCAGTGCTCGGATTATAGACGTGTCCCAACATGCCCAGCTGAAAATACTTTTTTTTGGTTGTTTTGATTATTTTTTTATTTCCTTGAGACAGGGTCTCACTATATAGTTCAGGCTGGCCTTAAGCTCACTGTTAGCCCAGGCGGGCCTTGAACTTATGGCCATCCTCCTGCGTCAGCCTCTTAAGTACTGACACACAGGCATATGCTACCATGCCTGGCTTTATTTATTTGTTGTGGTACTGGGGATTGAACTCAGGACCTTGTACTTACCAGGCAAGTGCTTATTCTACTGAGCTATCTCCCTGGCCTGGCTTTTTTTTAGAATAGAAAAGTTTACTGGAGAAAAGGACTGGGGACTAGAAATAACTCCCGAGAGAGAGGCAGGGTCTTGAATGGGTTGCACTTATTATTTTTGAACAATGTGTTTTTATAACCCCAAATCCCCTCTGGGATAAGACAGGAATAAATTTTAAAATGTTTAAAAGAACATGCTATTTAGCAGTAATCATGCTACTTAGTAAGGGATTTTCCTTTTGAGACAGGATCTCACTATGTAGCTCAGCCTGGCCTGAACTCACTGTGTAGCCCAGGCTGGCCAGTGATCCTCTGCAGTGAGTGCTGCCATCACAGGTGTGTGCCACCATTTCCAGCCCACTGAAGGATTCTCACCAAAAGTACAGTAACTGATGTACCAGATTTCAAATACTGTATCTTTATTATTCACAAATCAGTATGTCAGTTTGAATGTCATGTGTGATAAATTAGACTACGAAAAGAATTAGACTATGAAAAGTATTGTATGTACAGTGAAACAACTGTTTTATGTGAGTGAATCATTGAATCTACGACCTTCTGCAATAACCACCCAGCAGATGCAGCCCGACCCTGAGTGGACCACTACGTGGAAGTGCTGAGTTGGTACTGATTCTCAGTGATTCTTTCTGTGATCCAAGGCTTAATAGAAAATCCTCTGAAATTATCAAATGGAACCAGACCTCCTAGGATCTCAGAGATGCAGGAATAGGCAAAAGGCCACCAGACGTGACACCCACAGGCTCGGCCACTGTGCCACATGCTTGACTTCAGAGCAACCCAGAGCCATATGCATATCGTGTTGCACCTCAAATGCCCATGACTGCTCTACCAATCAGCAAAGGGTGGGGGTGGGGAACAGGGGGGTGGAAACAGTCCCAATAATTATATGGACGTTTCTGAATTTAATACCAAGGACCGGTTTCTAAAAAGCAAGTTTATAGACAGACACTGTCCAGCTAGCCCTTAACTGGAACATATGTGCCATATAATCAAGGAGCCAATGGGCTTATAAAACCACACACATCTTACTTATCTCTAATTTTAAAATAATTCATTGCCTTGTTGGGTATGCAAGTGAGCAATGGAGAGAGTGGAGCATCTGCAATACCTGCAATTTAAAACAAAAGAAAATTAAAATAATGACAGGGCAAAGATTTATCAGCCACTTAAAAACTGCCAAGGTTGGAGGGTAGACCAGGAGCCCTCCCCCATGCGGTAATGAAGCCAATATGCAAAATCGGAAGCGACAGGAAAGTGCAGAGGTAATTAATGAGCAAGAGTGAGGCCAACACAGTGCGCTGTGAACTTGTTCAGCTTGTGAAAGAAGCTGACCACTCACCAGCTGGAGCCAAGGCTTTCAGCGCTTCCAAAAGATGCGGGCTAGAGAACTTTATCAGGCACCGCAGGGGCTCGTCCCTCTCAGCCAAGATGCCCCCACATAAGTCACTTTTGAACTTCGTTTCAAGCTATCAACAGATACATTTATAAATGACTATTTGACGTGATCCGTTGGGACAGCACAAGATAATGAAATCAGATCATGCTTTCAAATAAATCTTTGCATAAGGAACTAGAAGGGTCAGTACAGGTGGAGACCATTTAATTTGCTGTCTGCAAACAGAAGGCAGCCAGCACACGAAAGGGACCTAAATGCCAGCCTTGGCACTGCCTGCCACCCAGAGGATGCGGAGTGTCAGTGCCGCCCCCAGGTGCCCTTTACTGTTTGCATTCCTGAAGGAAAGTTAGTGCTGTCTTTTGTAATCTGTCATTTCAGTATGACAGTGCTGTGTCTTTTGAGTCACCAGCGCAGTGGAAGATTGAAAACACTTCGGGGTAAGGACCACCGTGTGAATCCCTGGCACACATCACCCAGCTGAATCAGTTACCGGCTGGTGGCCAGCCCAGTGTCACCCTGACTTGTCTCCTCCCTCCTGCCTCCCCACTGAGCTGACCTGGTGCAAATCTGCAACACTGACATTCCACCTGTAAAGCTTTCCACGTGGACTTAAGGGAGACCTGAAAGCACTCCCTAAAAACTGAACCTGGACACCATCAAGGGACTAAAAGGATTAATTACAATTCCTTAATATAATCAAATATCGGGAAGCTGCTCCCATTTCTGTAAGTATTCGGCCTGTAGCTTCTGGTTTTTTTTTTCTTTGTTTGTTTGTTTTGGAGCCAGGATCTCTATATGCAGCTCAGGCTGGCCTTGAGCTCACTTTATAGCCCAGGCTTGTCTTGAACTCACAACAACCCTCCTGCCTCAGCCTCCCAAGTGCTGGGATTACAGGTGTACACCACCATGCCCAGCAGCCCTTAGATTGTTTCAATTTCTTTACATAAGGAAATACAGGGGTCAGTATAAGTGAAGACCATTTGATTTGCTAACTGTAAACAGGGCAACCAGCACACAAAGTTTTTTATTTTTACCAGTCCATGCTTGTGGTACCCAATGACTGCAGCCATCATGTGTGCTCATAACACAGCTTGATTTCTTTTGCCTCCCCTTTCACTCTCCCCTTCAAATTTTTATTTATTTATTTATTTACTTTTGTTTTTTGAGACAAGGTCTCACTATGTAGTTGAGGCTGGTCCTGAACTCACTTTGTAGCCCAGGCTACCCCCGAACTCCCAACAATCCTCCTGCTTCAGGACCAAGAACCTGAGTGCTAGGACTGCAGGCGTGCGCCACCACACACGGCCTCACGTGTTTTTAAATTTAAAATGATTCTTAAAATTGAGAGACAATGAACTGAAATATTTAGGCAATGAATAATGTCTGCAACCAATTTACATGCTTTAGTTTAGAGTGAAACAAATTGTGGCAAAACTTAACAGTTGGTGAACTAAGCAAAGAAGACATGGATGTCCACCGTAATAGTCTCACCAACTTTCTAAAGGTGTGAAGTTTTCCAAACAGAAGACGTATGGCGAAACCTGCAGCACTTAGGAACAAATGTGCACCCGGACTGAGAGAGCCACATGAAGAGGGGTGCGAGGGGAAGTGCTACGAATCCAATCTTCTGCACCTTGGAGCGGTGGCAGAATCAGCGCTAGGGCCAGGCCCTGCTTCCACCTCGCGGCCCGAAAGAGATGTGACAGGACCAAGGACCTGCATTTCTCACGTGTCCCAAGTGAGGTGAACTCTGGCAGTCTCAGGACCACATGCTGCCGACCACTGTCTTAGGCTATGGGTTGTTTAACGGAGCTCAGTTAAAACCTGCTATTAAGAGATCCCAACTTGAAAGGTTTCTCTCAACTTCTCTCACTCGAAACTAACCAGACCCACTGGGCTTCGGGCCTGCGTGAGCTGTTAGCAGATCTGAAGTGCGTCCTGCAGAAGCAGTGGTAGAAAGCCCGAACAGACACGTGTTGGGAGGACTTGGGGCAGGACAGTGTTCTAGGTATGGACAGCGACTCATATTAGGGAGAGCATGACATAATCTTCATGTTCTTCTAATGGGGGCAAGGGGCGTCCGCAAGCCCCTGCAGCCCCCTAACTGACCTTGCTGGGGGGCAACAGCGCACTTCTGGGATAAGCTCCATCTGCAGTGTGTCTGTCCTGCTGCTTTTTTTTCCATGCAGTGCCAATGAGGCCATGAATAACACTGCATGTCTCAGTCACTCTTCTTCAGTAGGCATTTCTGAGCAACTCTATGTGCCAACTACTATTCTAGGTGTAGATGAGCTGGACAGGACAGGTTATAGCTCCCTCCTACAATATACAGATCACAGCCAGTTCTTTACAACTGAATTAGTATGTAAGATGAAATGACAATGCAAATTTCCAAAGGCACCCTTTGCTAACAGGGGAACGTATGATGGAGAGATCTATTTAATTTATAAATTTATTATATAAAATTGGTGTGATAAATGAAAAAGGAACAGCTCCTTATGGCTCATTTTCCATTTGAAGTTGTTCTTTTTTTAAAAAAGCTGATGTGTGCAGCATCATACCTTATACTGTGCAAACTCCAGTTGAGGCTGGGCGCAGAGGCCAAAGGTTTCTTCTGTTATTCTTCGAACCCTTTCTTTTTCTATGGTGTTTTCATGAATGATCCTTGAATCCACTACAGGGGAAGATTTCAAATGAAATGGCCATTAGGAACATACTGCATCCTTAAAGAATCCTTTCTCATTCCTAATCTTTCATATTATTTTATTTTATTGAGAAACAAATATCAATGAGACAGTTTCAAAGCTGATTAATAGGACATTTTCAATAATTAATACATTGTACATTCTTATCTTCTTAGTGGTTATCCATGGTACAAGACACAGACAGAATATCCTGTCCAAACACTATTACTACAAATCTTTCTTCTCATTGAATTAAGCGAAAGTAGCTGTATATCTATCCTAACTATTCTGTATATACAAATACAAAATGGTCCTTCCTTTTTATAGTCAAATGACAATTTTGTTTAGTCCTGTCAGAGACGGGTATTCTATTGGCATCTAAATATTATAGGTGTTTGAATTCATCAAAACAATCCAACACAGTCCAGCAGTCCACAATAGTAGGGGGTTGTCCGCAGAAGTTGTTGACTTGAGCCTTTTACAGCTCAGCATATTAATATGGCTTTATTTTACATATCTCGTTTTTATACTTTTCTCCTGGATGGTTAAGATCTTTCATATTATTTGTGTAACTTAAAAATGTTTGTGGTTCCTCCTCTTGATTGTTAATAATTTTTTGTGGAGCCGGGGAGATAGCTTAGTAGAGTAAGCGCTTGCCTGGCAAATGCAAGGGCCTGAGTTCAATCCCTGGTTCCGAATTTTTTTTTTTGTAGAACAGGTAGAAATTACGAGCTTATAGAAGATAATAAAAATTATCCCCAAATTCCACCAGAGATGAACACTGTTAACAATTTAACACATTTCTTTTTAGCTCTTCTTATAGTAAATAAAGATGCATATATATTTAAAACTAGAACTACAAAATACACACAGTTCTGTATGCTGCTTTCTTTAGCAAGCTTCACATGAACAGAGTTCCCGTGCCACTGCAGAGTTATAGAAGTGCTGCGTGTGTAACAGCTGCACCGTTTCCTTTTCTTGCTTAATAGCTGCTAGAAGATAGGAAGGTTCTACTTTCTTCACTAGTTACACGGCGCCCCATGACTTCTCTGAACTAGCAGATCCACGTCTGTGGCCTGACGCTCTCCTCCTGGGCTTGCTCGGGGAGGCATGTGTTGTCCGCAGGCCGCAACAGGCACAGCTGTGACTCCTAGAGCCATCGGGAGCAGCTCCACACGTCTACCTGGGCCTTTGCCACCTCCTGCCGGTGACAGTACCTGGAGTTTCCATGCCTCCCAGGAGCCTAGGTGCCCAGTGAACAGCACTCACTCATGGGCCGCTGTGCAGACTGAGCAGTTAATACATATAAACATCTTAGGGTAGGTACTGGCCCAAGAAAAGCTCAGCAACTACTAGTGAGTTCTTCAGTTGTCACTGCTACTGGCTGCTATTCTAGTAAATTCTAAAGGAGACCTAAGGCAGCGTGGCTCTTGTCCAACAGTTATGACTTTTTATTTTTTTCTGAAAAAAGTAAATTGTGAATCAGAACCTTTGTACAGATGTGCTTTACTCAGTAACAGAAATTAAGAAAGGAAATGTTGTATTTCCACATCTTAGTGTTTTTTTTTTTTTTTGGCAGAACCAGGGATTGAACTCAGGCCCTTATGCTTGCCAGAGAAGTACTTATTCTCCTGAGCCATCTCCCCAGCACTAGTTTTTTGTTTTTGAGATAGGGTCTAAACTATGTAGTTCTGGCTGGCCTTGAATTTGCAGGGATTCTCCTGCCTCAGCCTTCTGAGTACAGGGATTACAGGCACCTTGCCCAGCCAGATTTCAGTTCTATCTTAAAGCATACATACTGTTTATATCTAGTCCAAGGGTTCTTTCCTGAAGAGCGCCTGTAGAGTGGTGATTTTCAAAGACCTAGGGGAAAAAGGATACAAAATGTGAGCGCTGTACTAATTCTAACACCTGGAAGCACAGCTATTCTGTGAGTTAGTATGTGGACGCTTGCTGTGCTTTCCAATGAAAAGTGTTAAGACCATATTTGAACGAGCCTGAGCGTTGCTCCTTGGATACAGTGGTGCCAGAGACTGTGGAGGCCTGGGTCAGGGCTCTCTGGTGTCGGGAACTCTGCTTTGCTACCCTAAAACTGGATCTGGGGTACACAGCCTCGAGGGCTCACTGGCAGCACCTGCACTGCAACACTTCTGCTTTACCCTCATAGCTAAAGCATCTGCGCAGAGCCCTTTCGGAAATTTTCCTACCCTAAGTCTGAATCTCTTGAACCCCTTCTCCCAGCTCTCCCGACTGAAACTACTGCTTTTATTTTTATAATTTTGAGAACCAGGATTGAACTCAGGACCTTGCACTCGCCAGGCAGGCACTGTACCCCGGAGCTAGGTCCCCAGCCCTTGAAGCCACTGCTTTTATAATAAAGGGTTTTGACAATGTGAATTTTCCCTAACTCTGATGGCTGTATGATAGCAGAACAGTGGATGCCATTTTAAGGGGAGGGTGGGTGGTAGAGAAATCAGTACCTAACTTCTTAACCTTAAGACTTTTTTTCCGGGACCAGCCAAATAGCTCAGTGGATTAAAGTGCCTGCAAGCAGGCGCAGGGGCTGGGGGTTTGATCCCCTGGTCTGCCATGCTGGCCTGTGGTGGTGCACGCCTGTAATCCCAGCACTTGGGAGGCTGTAAAAAGGAAAATCACTATGAGTCCAGTCTAGTAGTGAGACCCTGAACATCCTTCACTAAAATACAGAAGAAAAAAAGAAGACTTTTTTCCTTAAAGAACAACTTGCAGGCCAGGTGTGGTGGTTCACGCTGTGCTCCCAGCACTCAGGAGGCTAAGTCAGGAGGACCCTGTGAACTGGAAGCCACCCTGGGCTACATGATGAGACCGGCCCGAAGCAAGCACTCGCCCAACCAGTCAACTAACCAACTGAAAAAGAGCAACCTTCAGAGAGCCATCACTTTTTTCTAGTTAAGATACACACAGAGCAGTAACTGTCCACAGATGTCTGAAGCTGTTTTTGTCATTTAGGGAACAACACATTCAGATCATTTTAAAAAATCAGTTGTGAGATTTAATATATCCATGTTTTCTCTTTTGTAATTTCAACAATTTATGTCACCCAATCGAGACAAAATAATTATGTTTCTTTCTTGCACAACAGAATAATATATATGTCACTTCCAAAGACAGTTTTATGTTACTCTAAAGAGGAAATCAATTCTAAGTGGAATAAGTGGTTTGGAAGCTGGGATCTGCACATAGACTGATGGACAGAGTGCTTTACAAACACAATTGTAAAGCGACAGCGTTAAGGAGGGCAGCTTCCTCTACTCGCCCACACCTGAAGTGGGCTTTCCACCTACTCCCGCCCGACTCCTGTTGGCCACAGACTTCAACCTCCAAGGTAAAGCTGACTGCCTCACCTGGTTGAACTGTTTAAAAACAATCGCCTTGAGTGAGTCCAGGTGCCGGCTTCTCAGCTCCATCTGCACGATCTGATGGTGGTTGCTGGCGACGGTCAGTGCCTGAGACAGGAAAATCAGCACGGCTGTTAGGGCTACTGCGGGCTTGCTTCTCATCATGTTTGTCAAGGTGAAATGTAGGAGCTGTTAGCAGCAAATAGTTTTCATTTATGAAATGAATCCAGAAAAATATTAAATTGTGTGTTGTTCTGTTTTTGTAGAGTCCTGCTGAGCAGTTCAACCTCAGTGGTCCTCCGGCCTCAGCCCCACTCAGGGAGGAGGCGGCGTGCCTGGAGAGGATGCCGGGAGCCCTGTAGCACTGCAGGCGACACTAGCAAGAGGCAGGCTCCGGATGAAGACCACAGCGTGTCCGAGATGCAAAGCAGGCTTCTTGTGTACAGAACCCGGGACAGTGGTTACAAATGACAGTAACGGTCATTAATCGGCCAACTATGTCGTCATGGTAGAGCACTGGATGTAATCATAGGGACGTATTCTGTTCAGTAAAAAAAGGAAATCACCAAACCTATGCATGTACTACCCTGGCTTTGTGATAAAATATGTTTAGAAAAAAAAAAATCAAATAGGGGCTAAATGGGAGACGGAAAAGGGATGGGAAGCTTTTAGAGACTTGAAACTTGGGCTGGTGAGATGGCTCAGTTGTCTAGGGCACCTACTTAGAACAAGCTTAGCAAAGCACAGGGACCACGGTTCTAATCCCCAGCACCACATGCCAGCCAGCCCTGCCCCCTGGTGGGCTGAGCTGGCCACACACACACACACACACACACTTAAATAAATAAAATTAAAAAAAAAAAAGAAACTTATGTATTGGCTGCATTTTGTTTTTTTACATGAAGCATGTATTCTTCATGTAGTTTTTTAAAGGCAGTGAAGAGCACTAACTTAAGACCACTTGTAGAGAGGCAATCTTTGCTCCTTGTTATAGAAGAACAAAACTTCAGCGTGGCCCTCTACAGCAAATGCGCAAGGCCAGTGAGGTGAAGATAGCGGAATCGAGCTGCGAGCAGCTTCTTGCGTACCTGGCGCAGCAGGGGTACCACGCCCTTCAGCCTGGAGGAAGACATGAACGCAAACGGTGTCTGTGAGTGATACACCACGTAGGTCGGTTGGTACTGATTGGGCCTCTTGTGCTGAGTTCCCCAGGCGATTCGGATCCACACTGCATTCTCTTCGGCATCCCGGAAGCTCACTGTCACCTGAAGAGATGATTTCAGGTTCTGTGTTGACTGGCACTGTGGCACCAGTGGCAGGTACTTTCTAGGGCAGTGGCTACCAGATGGGGCTGCGTGCAGGCAGAGGCCCAGCAGTTCTGTCTCCCACTTTAAACAAGTGTTTCAGGAATCTTTGGGAAGACATTTTTTGATTCTTTTGTAAATACACTTTGATGCCTTGCAAAGTCTTTTGGAAGGAAAACAAATGTCTTAAAAACCTGTGATCAGGTATGACACCAGTATTGTTCAAGATTTCTTGGATTTGTTCTAAACAGTTTCTCTTCACCTGTGGTTTTTTAATGTATTTAGTACAGGGTCTCCAGGGTCTCATTACATAGATCGGACTCGTAGTGGTCCTCCTGCTTTCTGCCTCCCAAGTGCTGGGGTTACAGGCGTGTGCCACCATACCCCAAGGTCTCCCTATGTAGTTCAGGCTAACCTTGAACTCCCAGCGATCTTCTGACACCACACCTGGCAGCTGTAATTCTCTTGTCTTAGCCTTTCACGGAGCTGGGATTATGGCATGTGCTACCATGTGTCTAGAGATATGGCAGGTGTTTTATGAGAACTGTTGAACATTTAGTAGATCTGTACTATAAGTTTAATGGTGAGATTTCTATGTAGTGGTGGGTGTGGTGGCGCATGCCTGTATTCCCAGCACTTGGGAGCTGAGACAGGAGGAGTGTTTTGAGTTTGACAACAGCCAGGCTACAAAGTGAGTTCAAGGCCAGTCTGAGCTGGACAGCAAGACCTGGTCTAAAAAGAAAATAAAACAACAACTAAAAAAAACATTTCTATGTAGTAATTGCCTGAAGATATCTTAGTCCTGGGGCTGTGGAGATAGCTCTGTGGCCTAAATGCCTGCCTAGGCAAGCACAAAGACCCGGGTTCAATCCTCAGTATTGTACACCAAGCAGGCCATCAAGACCAGGCATGGTGGTGCATGCCTGTCAGCACTGGATCACTAGAGTCCAAGCTGCATAGCAAGACCCTGTACCAAATACATTAAAAAAAAAAAAAAAGCAAAAACACTTAGTCCTAATGGTTTTATATATTTGCTTAGCTAAAGTCTACTTAAAGGAACATTATGTGATCGGCATTCAGAAGTTCTACTGTTTCCTTTTTTCTGGATAAATATGGGCCTTTCCAAACTTGGAAATATGATCGCCAACTGATCTGGAATTTAACAGCCTTGTTCATGAGCTAGCCCTAAAGTCTGCTTCCCTGGGGCTCTGACTCTGCTCCGGGACATGAGCTAGCCCTAAAGTCTGCTTCCCTGGGCCCTTTCGCTCTTCCCACTCTCCACCTCCCCCCTCCCTCCATGGCAGGAAAAGGAGGCCACTGTGGAGGCTGTGGGTGTCCACTTTGTCACTAGGTACTCTGCCAATCCACCTTGGTATAGCGGAGCAGGGAATCTCAGTAGCCTGGTACATGGAAGCAAAGACCTGTCTGGCTTCCCTAGTAGGCAGCAGGAGCTTGGCCCCTTGGGGGATCCCCTGGGTTACTGACTGGAACAGAAGAGGTCTCATTCTTTTTTTAAAATTTTATTTATTAATTTTGGTGTTTTTGAGACAGAGTCTCGCTCTGTAGTCCAGGATGACCTTGATCTTGCTTATGTAGTCCAGGCTGGCCTCAAACTCATGGAGATCCTCCTGCCTCAGCCTCCCGAGTGTTGGGGTTACAGGCATGTGCAAACATGCCTGCCCCAGAACAGGTCTAATTCTGCAGTTTCCTTGCTGCCCATTACAAAAACAAAACTGCCTGTAAAGTCGTGGGGCTCCAGAGCTGCCCTCAGCAGTGCCAGAGGTACTCCTCAAACTTGTACCAGGAACCAGTCACTTAAACTGTTAAGATTAAGTGACACCAGCCACATCCCATCCCCGGGGCTCAGCCACCAAGCAGGCCGCGCTGCTCCCCTGGAGGGCAATGGGAGGCTGTCACCAGAGCTCCACTGGGAGAGGGCAGTCAGGTCTCAGTGGATGAGGAGGGGAGAGGGACGCTTTAGAATTTTTGTTTTTATTATCCTTAGTTTTAGCTTAGGATAAAGGGTTTGCCTTGTGCATAGTGTAGGAGAGTATGGAATATGACTAACTGGATTCTACATAGCAAGACCCTGTCTCAAACCAAACAAAATCCAAAAAGCTACCCCAAAACAGCAGCACGTGTGAACTGCACGGATGTCGTTAAGTTGAATTTCATGGAAACTTGGATGATTTTATTCTTACGTTTTTTAAGGCTCTGTGAAGAATTTTCTTAAATGAGCTTTTGAATTCTTCCATATCAAAAATGTCAACATCTTCATCTGTCAAAGGGTAAAGAAAACCAGAAATGAAGGGAGCAATGATGTCTTCAACAGACAGATTTGCAAAGAACCCCGCAGCTAAGTAAGCATTTTGTGCAACCTCAGAGCAAAGATGAGATTACACAAATGTCACTTATGGCTCCGAAGGCCACTGCCAAGCACCAGGACAGTTGCCTAAATGTGCAAGAGGATTCAAGAGAACTTATTTCTGTTGATTTTTACATTGCCCCAAAATATCAAATACAAACGTCTGATTTGAAGTGGAAAATATTACCTGTTACTTTACTCATATGAAAAACATCCCACATTTTCTGGTGCCGATGAGCTTGAGTATCTGAGGAAGGAAATATTACTTAATAGTCTGACTAGGGCTTTGAGGTAGTGTGCTTATATACCTGTATTTTCAATAATACATGACCTGCTTAGCATACTGCGTGGCACACAGTAGGTGCTTAATGAATATGTACATAAATGTGGCACACAGTAGGTGCTTAATGAATATATGAATGAATGCGTGAGAACTGGAAATGTTCACAGGTCCTCCTTTAAGGTGGATGGGATCCACTCCCTAGCAATGAGACTAACTCAGAGGCTAGCACTCTAAGGACAAGCAGCTGTGTCACTGCTGGGCCAAAGTGCTAACAGAGTACTAAAGGTGGGTGTGGGTGCACTTCTGTGTCCCGGAGGAGCTGAATATAATGATAACAATCAACTGTAACTATGTCAGGCTTTGTTCTAAGTACTTACTTAACATGCGCTTTTATTTAATCTCACCACAAGCTATGGGATACCATCCTTATCACACAACTTTTGTGAAATGGAAAAAACTGAGCAAGAGCTCTCCCTCCCTCCCCCAGCGCCCCAGAGAAGCACCCTGGAGCCATGAAACCACCCCAGCGCTACGGTCTGTGCCCTTAGCCCTGACAGGGTGCCACCTGCTGAGTAAAAAGCAAAGCAAAACAAATTTTCAGAAATATTATTTTCTAATTCTATAATAATATATTTTTTAACAAATACTTCTCTTCTGCTTAGGATGCGCCAGTTAACGTGCTAAGAGTTTTGCAGGCATCGTCTCACTGAATTTTCTTTTTCTTTTCTTTTCTTTTCTTTTATTTATTTATTTGTGTGTGTGTGTGTGTGTGGCCAGCTCAGCCCACCAGGGGGCGGGGCTGGCTGGCATGTGGTGCTGGGGATTGAACCGTGGTCCCTGGGCTTTGCTAAGCTTGTTCTAAGTAGGTGCTTTAGACCACTGAGCCATCTCACCAGCCCCCCTCACTGAATTTTCTGAACATTCCTAGAAACAGGCACTATTTCTGTCTCCATTTAGTAAGGAGTCTCAGGTGGAGTGGCGAAGCAGTGTGGCAAAGGGCACAAGATGGGAAGGGACAGAGAGAGCGCTGATCCCAGGTCTCCTTGACCCTAGACTCTACAGTCCTACTAGAATCTGCACCCGATGAACTGATTGGTTAAGTGTAAAGAGAAAGCACCAAAACTTACAAACGATGTCTAAAAGGGCCACGTCACTGATACTTGCGCAGTTCTCCTGAAAGAAAGGATAAACTGTTTAGGAAACCCAGTCATAAGCTTGGTGCTACTCCTTTAAAATAGCACGGTTTAGACAGGCATGGTTGGGCCGGGGATGTGGCTCGGTGGCGCAGCGCCTGCCTAGCAAGCGCGAGGCCCCGAGTTCCATTCCCGGTACCAAAAAAGAAAATAGTAAAAATGAGACCAAAAAAAGTCCCTTTGAAATAGACAGGCATGGTGGTGCACACCTGTAACCCCAGCACTCAGGAGGCTGAGGCAGGGGGATCATTACGGAGTCTGAGGAAGCAGCCTGGGCTGCAAAGTGGGCTCTAGGTCAGCCTGAGCTGCACAGTGAGACCGTGGCTCAGAAAGGGGGGAAGAAAAAAGCAGCTTTACCTACTTAGGACAGACTCGCACACACCCTCAGTACTTTACTGAAACCCATCTCGGTGTGCAGTCTCCACATATAGAATTTCTGCTTCCTTTCTTAGTCCAGATACTCACAACTCTTTTTTTTTTTTTCCTCCAACTCTTCTTGAATTTATTTATATCAGATTCTATTGGTACAGTTTAGATATACATAATGATCACATTTATCATAGAGAATTTTTTGGGTTTTTTTGAGACAGGGTTTTCTTAGTAGTTCAGGCTGACCTTGAATTCACTATATAGCCCAGGCTAGATTTGAACTCAGGGTGATCATCCTGTTTCATCCTTCCAAGTGCTGGAGTCACAGGTGTGTGCCATCACAGGGCATCACAGAAAATCTGTACTCATACATGATATAACTAGGGTTTTAGTTTTTTACCCTAACTTCCCTACTCTCCCTTCTCACTAAATTTAGTCTTCATTTATTATTTTTAACTTTTTGATTCTTAAAAAATCAAGTTTAGCCAGGTGTGGTGGTACACGCCTGTAATCCTAGCACTCAGGCCTCTCTGGCAGAAGGATCATTGTGAGTTCAAGACCAGCCTGGGCTACAAAGTGAGCTCAAGGCCACTCTGAACTGCATAGCCAAACCCTGGCTCAAAAAGACCAAAACAAACACAAAAAACCCCACCAAGGGCCACAGCCATCTTGCCCAGAGTTGTGGGACTAATGAAGTTTGTGAACGAAAGCACCCTGTACTCTCCTGAAACCATCAAGACAGTGAACAGCAGCTCCCCAAATTTTCTTGTGCCTCTTACCCTCCTCCTCTTCTCAGCCCTTCCCTCCCAACCCTTGGTTGTGAGGCCACCCCTGCCCCACTTCCTGTCACTACAGATTTGTTTCCTAGAGTTTATCTGAATGTGGACATAACTTTGTATTCTTTTTATTTTCCTTCCTTCCTTCTTCTCCTCCTCCCCCCTTCTCTCTCTCTTCTTTCTTTCTCTTTCTTTCTTCTTTCTTTCTTTCTTTCTTTCTTTCTTTCTTTCTTTCTTTCTTTCTTTCTTTCTTTCTTTCTTTCTTTCTTCTTTCTTTCTTTCTTTCTGACAGGGTCTCACTGCACAGTTCAGCCTGGCCTTGAACTCACAGTGATCCTCCTGCCTCAGCCTCCAGAATGAGTGCTGGGGTTACAGGTGTACGCCACCAAGCCCAGCCTGTATTATTCTTTTTTGGCTGGCTTCTTTTATTCAGTGTAATTATTTTGATATTGGACTGTATTTTTTTTAACCAGCACAGCAACATTCATTGTTTCAGCTGGGCCTGAACTGTATTTTCGGATCCATAAATGGTCCCTTCTTTTTTCCTCCTGAGTAACAATTTGTCGTATGGACTTATCCCAGCTTGTTTATCTGTTTACCTCCTAAAGGATCTTTGGCTGTTACGGGCAGCGTGGCTACGAATATCACTGGACACGTCTTGTGTGCACGGGGCTTTGCACGGGGCTCCAGCTGAGTAAATGGCTGAATCTCTGGCAGAAACGCCACCTCAACTGTCACGGAAGCTTTCAAAGCGGCTGCACACCTTGCACTCCCGGGGCACTGGCAGAGGCTGGGTCCAAGCGACATCCTTCTTTTTTCTCTGCTGCTGCTCCTTCACCCAACCGTAGCTAGTACAGCGGCCATACCAGGCTTCCTGAGCCTGGCTCTACTGAAGTTTTGCTTTGCTAATTCTGTGCCAGGGAGGCTGGCCTGGGGTCGAGGGGCACCCTGACTTCTACACAGTGGAAACCCGGAGCATCCCCGCTCGCTCAGTCTGACAACCAAGGATGCCTCCAGGCCTGACCCTGTGTCCTGGGGGACAAAATGATCCTGGTTGAGAACACCGGGCATTCTACACGTGGACATTTACATGCATAGTACAGTTTAAAATTTTTTTTTGTTTTGTTTTTTGAGACAGGGTCTAGCTAGGTAGTTCAGGCAGACCTTGAACTCGGAGCAGTCCTCCTGCTTTGGCCTCCCAAGTGCTGCGTACAGGCGTGCGCCACTATGCCTGGCTCAAAGTTTTGATGTTGTATACAAGGACTATTTTGTTATGGATGAATCATTCATCAACACATATCCCTTTTTACTGTTTTTTTTTCCTGTACCAGGGATCAAACTCAGAAACATGAGCTTTCCAGGCAGGCACTCTTTTTATAGTTTTATTTTTAAAACAGTGCTGTTAATTTAGTCATACATAAATATGTAAATATTTATAAATTTAATTTAGTAATATATACCTTCTTATTCTAAATTACTTTTTCAAAAAATTATTTTATAGTGCAAATTTCAGAAGCAGGATTTTTCTTTAGGTCAAAAGTATTTTTCTTTAAAAACAAATGAGGGGGCTGGGGAGATAGCTTGGTGGTCTCAAGTGTCTGCCTGGCAAGTGCAAGGACCCAGATTTGATCTCCAGTTCTGCACATGTGCTGGCCCTGGAACCCTGGGCGCAAGGTGCTGGCTCTGAAGCTAGGCATGGTGGCACACGCCTATAATCCCAGCCCTGGGGAGGCTGAGACAGAAGGATCACTATGAGTCCAAGCTGCATAGCTGAGACCCTATTTACATAAATAAATAAAAGATTTTTTTAAAAACTATCTAAAAACAAATGTGGAAAGCCAGGGATGGTGGGCTACATAGTGATTTTCAGGCCACCCTGGAACACAGGGAGACCCTGTTTCAAAAGAAAAACAACAACAACAACAAATGAAGGAAAGATATATCAGAGAATTCTTTGTACTCTATTTGCAACTACTACTGAGAGTCTAAAATTATTTTAAAGTAACAAACAAACAGGGCCAGGGAGATAGCTCAGTGGTGCCTGCCTGGCAAGTGCAAGGTCCTGAGTTCAATCCCTGGTAACAAAAAAACCAACCAGCCAACTAACCAACCAACCAAACAAAAACCTAATAAGTAAATCAATACACATGAAAGAAAGAGTATTTCTTTCCTCACAACTTTGTAAACATATCTGATAGGGTGAGCCAGATAGCTCAGTGGATTAAAGCGCCTGTTTAGGCAGAGGCAGGGACTGGGTTCAATCCCTGCTC